CAGCCAACGTGATGAAACCTCATCTCTACTAAAATAAAAATTAGCCGGGTGTGTTGGTGGGTGCCTGTAATCCCAGCTACTCAGGAGGCTGAGGCAGAAGAATCACTTGAACCTGGGAGATGGAGGTTACAATGAGCCCAGATCACACCACTCCGTTACAGCCTGGGCGACAAGAGTGAGATTCTGTCACCAAAAAAAATAATAATAATAATAAAGAAACAAAACAAAAAATAAAACCTCACATGATGGCTGGTTGCAGGGGCATGTGCCTGTAGTCCCAGCTACTCATGAAGCTGAAGCAGGAAGATGACTTGTGGTCTGGAATTTGAGGCCAGCCTGAGCAACATATTGATACCCCATCACAAAATTCAATAATTACATTAAAACCTTTTTTAAAATTTAAGTATAATCTGAGCTGTTTGGTCAGGAAAGGAAAACTCAAAAAACAGATAATCAAAATTTCCCACTATGTTAGATTTGCTGATTTCTTCTAACGAATTGGCTGGCTTTGCTATGTGTTTTGAGGCATATTGTCACTATTACATTGCCCTGTGATCCTTACTTGAAATCTTTCTTTGGTTTATAAAGAGCCACAAACGGTTTTTGGTTGGCATTCACCTGTCCCATCCTTTTGCTTTTAGCTTTTATGTCCTTTTGCTTTAGGACATCTGTTGCAAACACGTTTTTTAATACAGCCTGAGGCAGTCTTTATCTGACCCATCAAGGCCATTTATAGTTATTGTAATTGGTGATACATTACCTTATACTTTCTATTTAGCCTGTCCTTTTTGTGCTGTTTTTTCCCCTTTATGAGCTTTCTGGATTGATCAGGGGGTTTTTTTGGTGGTTTAATTCTGACCTGTCTCTACAAGGTTTTTCAGTGTTGCTCAGTACTATGGACATTTGGGGCTGGATCATTTTGTGTTGTGGCTAGCCATCCTGTGTACTATATGATATTTAGCAGCATCCCTGGCCCCTAGGAACATCTGTCCCTTAATCAGACTGACAACCAAAATCATTTCTAGACATTGCCAAGTATTTTCTGAAAGTAGAAACATCCCTGGTTAAAAGCCACTGCTTTGTGGGCTTGGAAGTTTTATACTACATTTGTTGTTTTATTTCTGACTTCAGCAAGTCTAACATGAATCGTGAAAAACCTGAGGACTTCAGAACATTTGATTTTGTTGCCTCATTCCCACGTCATTGGCCACTGTTGTCCAGTATATTAGTCCATCCCATTAATTCCAAGTCATTGACATTTCTGTATTTCATATGGCCAACATTGGATTAGATCAATTCCCCCCCACCTTCTTTTTTAAGAGATGGCATCTCACTGTGTTGTGCAGACTAATCTCAAAAGCCTGGGCTCAAGTGATCCTGCCACCTTGACTTCCCAAAGTACTGGGATTACAGGTGTGAGTCACCACACCCAGCCTACATTCATAACATTCATAAATTCCTTTTTTTCCTTGTTGGTTTTTTTCTGAAGAACAACCTTTTCTAATTCTTACTGCTAGTATCCTTGAAAATGAACTCTGCTTTTGCTTTTCTGATTTATTTTTTCTTTTTGAGACAGAGTCTCATTGTGTCGTCAAGGCTGGAGTGAATCGTAGCACACTGCATCCTCAACCCTCAGAGCTCAAGCGATTCTCTTACCTCAGCCTCCCAAGTAGCTGAGACTAACAGGTGCATGCCACCACACCCTGCTAATTTTTGTATTTTTTGTAGAGATGGGGTTTCACCATGTTGTCCAGGCTGGTCTCAGACTCTTGGGCTCAAGCAATGTATCCACCTTGGCCTCTCAAAGTGTTGAGATTACAGGCTTGAGCTACCACACCCAGCCTCTGAAACTTTCTTTATCTCACCCTTACTTGTGAACAGTAGTGTGACTCATAGACTTTTCCTTCAGCGCTTTGAAAGTAACTTTCCATTACCTTTGGGTTTCCAGTTTTTCTGCTAAGAGATCTGTTGTGATCATTTTCGTCCTTCACTAGTGGTTTGTTTTTTTTTGTTTTTTTTTGTTTTTTTTTTT